TGGGGACATGCTTGGTATCCATGTGTAGGGTTTGAGAAGCCAGCTTGCTGGGTGAGTTTTGGGATAGTTTTCATGCACAAGTTGCAAGTACTTGGAATCAGAGTAGAGATAAGTAGAGGGACTGCTGAGTTCTTCCAACTGGAATGAAGATTAGAAACCGAATTGCGGAAGAGACCTCTGCCGACCTTCACGTCCTACCCTCCGAAACACGCGTCGAGCCTCCAAGGTTCACCCCACGCCAGCATGTCCTGACACGGTTTGCCCCACATGGATTGTGGCACGCTGAGAAGATCAAAGGCACGTGGAGGGGAGGGTCCGTGGAGCATTTTCCTTCACACAAGTGCTCAGGGTCATTGGCCCGCATCAGCGGCCTTTGAAAAAAGCACTCGACGTTGTTGAGGGCCACAACGGAAAGAAAGTGCGCTTTCGTACCATGATGTCTCTCAGGATTCAACGTCCGTCCTTTCAACGTTCGTCGGGCCAAAAGAGTTGCATTTGAACTCAGTGGGGTTCCGGATGAGCCAGCTGTCCGCAGTGCAAACCTGTGCCACCGTATTATGTGCGCATTCTTGGCGTTTGTGCAAAGAGAACACACGAAGCCAAAAAGCTGGCCTTCTTGCACAAATCCATCTCAGGCCCAGCCCAAGGCATTGCAAAAGTGGATGACACGGGGGCTCCCTTTGAGCACTAGCCCTCCTACGATTTGGAGCCGATCTGCATGAAAGCCCCAAGCATGCTGATGAAAATAAATCATAAAGCTGTGCCGCTCTCGAATGCATCTATGACATACTACTGCTTGCGCATGGCCGGAGATCCAATTTAGATTGGACACAGGTGATCCATGAATCTCTGGCAGCACGAGATTCGAGCTGGCAGCACGTCACATTTCTGCCTTTTCGTTTCGATGGAGACGGCCTTTTCGTTGGCAACACGAGGTCTAGAGATACCAAGGGCCAGCCCTGTGCGGCCGGAGAATCAAACATTTGGAATATGTACACTTCTTGAATCTTATTGATCTTCTTGCCACTGATGGTCCACTCACTCATGCGATCTCATACCACCATGCTCATGCTTTGCACCTGCAGCATGGCAATTCCAATAAAGTAAAGGTCCCCATGAGTCTCCATGCCGACCTGTTGTGCATCTCGGCATAGAAAGGATGGCGTGTCCTGCCGACCAAGTGGGATTGAGACAAACCTTGGACTCTGCTCTCACGCCAACAGTCACTGCTCAAGAACCACATCTCGAACTACCTGGTGTGAAACACCTAGTCCTCCGAAGCAAATGTTGCTTTGTCAAGGCTTGTGAGATCTCCATCGCTAAGCGTAAAGTCGAAAATGTCCAGATTGGCCTGCCAGGGCCGCTTTGAATCCCCGCTGCAAGTATATAAACATATAATCAAAGTATATACATATATGTATATATATATATATGTATGTATGTATGTATTTATGTATGTGCAATACACACAATATATGCATACTGTACATCCTCCGAAGCTCTTCCTCCTCTTCTTCTTCTTTTGTACGTTGTCTGATGCATGCTGGCCGTGGCGCCCAAATCCTTTGCATGCCGCCCAAGCTGTTTCCAGTCGGGGCCTTCAAATGGGCTGGATTTGCAGACTTCGTGGCCACCGAGACATTGTGGGAGACGATCCATTTCAAAGCCACCTCCACGCGTTGCTCGATTGGGCGGAGCGAGTGAAGGAACCTGTTTTAGGTCTCACAGGAAGTGACGCCCCTGCAACCCGAATGGTGGGATGGTCTCCTCCGCAGGGTCGAAAAACTCCAAACTCCTACATACAACACATCACATATGAGATTCTACAACATATACAGTACTACTTTCGACCACTCCTACAAATTCCACATACATAGTTACACGAGATGCATTGAGATTCTAACGCGCGGTGGATGTAAAAGAGCGCCGTTACCCTTTGCACGTGGCCAAATCTCAACTTGGCACCTGCGCAGCAGACTTTCCATACTTGTTCCCAATCGATGTGGTCAAGTTTCCTGAAAGGTGGACATGTGCTGGCAAGCCCCAAGACTCAAACGGCAAATCCATCATGTCCACCCCGCATGTCCACATGCCATGGGATGGACATTCCACATCCGCCTTTTAAAATCTCCTCAGAGCCGTGGCCACCACTTCCAAATGGACTGTATGCCTGAAGGGGGATGGTGTGTGGCCGCTCTTGACCGTCATGAATGACCCAGCCTGGAGCTTGATCTGATGCTTTTCTGCGAAGGTCCGGAACCCCTCAGGGTCTGATCCTTGGATTGACTGGAGTGCATGGCTCAATTTCATGGTTCCTAGAGAGCTAGCCCTGCCTCCAACAGCTGGGAGTCCACCCTTTTCCACAAGTCGGAACCTCTTTGTTTCCCTTACTGAACTGCAGCTCAGTGACCCATACCCACATGCAGTTGCACCTGGTTCACCATCGGGAAGACCTCACTTCCAGCTAAGCACTCCAAGCATGCGCTGCAGTAGTTGGATACCCCAATCGCGCGGATCTGCTGCTTCTTGTATGCATTGGTCAACACACCTCAAGCACTGCTGCAAGAAGTGGCTTCCTTGCATTCACCCATGGCCCTGTGTACAACTGCGAAGACCACCACCACTGTGGCGGGCCACTGCTGTTTCACCTATGCTAACTCCACACCCAAACTGCAAACTGCCAGCTTTAGCACGAAAACACTCCGTCGTTCCTGCCAGCTCTTGGTCTTCGGACCAAGGGGCTCCATTGAGCGCGTATCATGTCGCATGCTTGGGGATGAGTACAGCCACTGTGGGGTGCGTAGCACGAGCTGTTGGAGGGACTTTCGGCTGTTCCATCATCTCCCGGGCATGGCGGAAAGTGCACCAAAACCTCAGGATCGCTTCCAGTGGTCGGGGATCTTTTGCAAAATAGTCTGAGAGAAGGGAGAAGAAGGCAGCCTGGGAACTGCTGGGAACTGGGTTTCGGGATATTCTTTCGAGTGATTGGCTTTTTGACCACTTCTTCGGTGCCTAGGTGCCTCATGCTGACAACTACATCCCCAGTGGTTCCCAAGGCCATCCTTACAAACAAGCATCACTATCATTAAGGCATCAGGGCACCACTTTAGCTCTTCAACACCGGCACAGCTAGCCTGAGGCACCTAGACCGCACCTAGACCTAATCAGGGACACATCCTCTGCTCGTTGAGCGTCATTTTTGGACTTTCAGAGAGGGCAAAGCGAAACCTACCTGGATCCCAAGTAGGTTTCGAATGGCCGCGAAGGAAGTATGACACAGGCGAGGTCACACTTGAACAGGCCTTCATTTGATATGAGAAGGTGGATTCGGACGTCACAGGCTTAACACAGTTCAGGATGGCCCCGGTATATGGTTGTTTTAGATTCAAAGGCTAAGGAAGATGCGCGAAGCTGAGTCAAGAGTACCGTGAAACAAGGGAAGTCTAGCAGGGGCAACTATGTGCCACATCCACGAAAATGCATGCTGTACACATGGTTGTTAAGTGGTAAGCTCATCTTTCCGCTTGAGCCTCTTCTTCAAAGTCCTTTGGCTATTGTTAGGCTATGCTGTTGAGATATTGCCATACTATATTGTCCACATGTGCCTGCTCCTGAACAATACATAACTATAGACTCTTAGACTATCTTAGACTATTGTCTGTGCCAAAGCTCTCATCACCTGACCAGCTTGACATGCATTGAATACTTCCAAATCAGTGTATATATTGAAAAATATCGAAAGTATACTACTGACTCTCTTTGCTGGGAACTATCCCTAAACAGCCAACACACTTGTATGATTTGACGGCAAGTCTCCAAATCAATATAGGTGAGGTTCAGCTGTTGCAAATCGATCACGAGCTTGTCTTCTGTTTCAGTCTTGCACTGCTCGACGCTCTTGGCGCTCACGTTCTGGCTACCGCATCCAGGCACCTGGTCCAATGATACGTTCTCATCAGGAGATTTCAATCATCAGCCCCCATGTGCCGGGCTCAACTTCACATGCTGGCCTTGCTGGTGAGGAAGAAGGACCCCCTTGCTTTCCCAGATCTCTTCAAGCCTTTCCCAACACCAACCTGACGATTAAAGGCTGGATCGGGCGTAGAAGCAGCCTTTTGAATCTGTCAAGCAAACAGGGTCGGAACCGGGTGGATTCAGACGGCCTGGTTGTGATAGTCGTAAGCTGTATCAATGTGTTGGAAGCCTGCATTGAAAGCAGCTACCACTGCATCTTCTGCGACCGAGTCATTGTACTGCCAGGTGCCTGGCCATATGCACGGTGAAAAATTAGACAATGGAGAACAAGTAGGATCACCTTTGTTACAGCCTTCAGACTGGGTGATGGATACCCAAAAAACAAATAGAGGATTACCCTGATTACACTAAGAAAAAACACTCACAAACATACAAAAAAGGGCCTCTTCCCTTCAGACCTTGGTTTCAAACAACCCTCCTGCTGCCAGCATTGGCATTTGCACACCATTTCGAAGCGTCACAGCGGGCACGGATGGTGGACGAGGAGTGGGTGAGTCGTCGCTGCAGCCTCACGGCAGGTCCAACCTTTAAGTCTTGACGGTCTATCACTCAAAACCCCTCGGAGCCTCGATGGTCAAACATCTCCAGGGCCCGTCAGGGGTCAAACATCAACTGTCAACAACATGATCCTCGTTTTTCTCAACATCTCCAGCTGCAGCGCGGAACCGCGCCTTGCAAAATCAGGGCTACAGCTGCAGCAGCACCCGACACCCACCGAGCCATTGGTTCGGTTGAAAAGCGATGTGACGATCTGCATGCGCAAAGCCGAACTCACGGCTGCAGCGAAGGATGACGGGAGTGAAACATGACATGAGTCATGAGATTCATGAGTTCAAATCAATTGATGCAACCTCTGCTGCAATTCAATAGATTCAACATAGGCTTTGACATGACAACATTATACTTTGACTTCCTTCCTGGTGATTGCGATTCAGCCGTGGCTTTGGCTAGCTTGGCCAGCTGGCCTGATTGGCAGGGTCGTCCTCCTCTTCTTCGAGCGTTTCCGCTAACTTGCTGACAGCTCGCGTGACCTGGGCAGTGCTTTCATGCAAAACTCATCAACATTCCAAGCACACAAATGGTTGTGGTTAATGAAATGGACGTGGCAAATGATGGTCAGAAAGCAACGTGCATTTTAAAAAGGAAAAGGACGGCGAAGCTCCCAGACCCGCTTCGCGCACAGCTCCCAGACCCGCAACACACCGGAGATGGACACTTTGAGACGCCCCATTTATCATTCATCTGTCGGCTCACGTGACTCCAAGCACTGAGGACTGCACCACTTTGAATCCAACGTTTCCTTTCTTTCCCTGACAGTCAAGCCTCAACCAAAACTCAGGTCACCCCACTGATCGGTGGATGCCTGGTCCAGCCTGGTGTGCTAAATTGCAGAAGCAAACAACGGATTCCGAGCCAAGCACGACATGGAAGTTTGTACAATCTCATTGGCCTCAAGATCATCAAGCATGTTCATTGGGTTCCGGGCAAGACCAGTCTGCCATTCACTAACACCCACCCAATGAACAAGCTTCTGGATCAACAAAATTTTAGCCTTACAGTAAATAGCCCAACAAGACATTCAATCGTTGGGCTCACGAGAAGCACCCTGAAAAACAAGGTTTCGGCCAAGAGACCTGCGGTGAAACTCGCAACAGGAGTCGCTCTCCTTGTTGCGTTGCCAGGCGCTTCAAGGGCGATAAAGCATAAGCTGCAGTCCTCCGGAGGATGTCGGAGGAACAAAAGAACATCTGGTCCGTTCTGCATGTTGTTTGAGCTGAGGCCACTGCTCCAAAGCGCGCAAGAAGGGGGAGATATACCATCTCCTGAAGTCCGTACAATCTAGGAAGCATGAGAAGATTGCAGGTGACAAAACTGGAGCCGGAGCAAACGCCTCGTACAAGAAACCACATGACCCGGAGCCTCTCCAAAACTCACCGAAACGGCTATATTCTACCAGCAGTTCATATTTGAGGGAGTGCAGGTTTGTTGACGTTTGTCACCTGAGATGGAGTTTGGAGCATCGCTTCATCCCAATCTTGTCCGTGCCTCCATCACATCTTTCGATCCAAGTCTTGATGCTGGCCATGGTGCGACTTATTAGGGGCAGGACAGGGATCCAAATGCTCTAGTGAGCCTGAAAGCCTCATCCTGAAACACACGTCACATGAATTCATGCCTCGGAAGGCTCTGAAATGGGAAAAACCATGGGGCAAGCTTGAATTCTGCAAAAGGGGTGTTCAGTCAGTTCTGCAAGAAGGTCCCGCAGGAACTGTCGAACTGTACACTGCTCTTCTGGCAGGCCGCTCGGGGGGGCCGCTCACGTCACCACGTCGGGATGTTGCGCAATCCACTCCTCAAAGCCACGCTTCGGTGGAAAGGACGAAACATGTAGAAACGCTATGTGCAACAGCTGTGTCAGCATAGAGAGAAGCAAAGACACATTTTACATGTAATCCATCTTTCCATACTTTTCCTGTTCACCTGTTCCTGTGCAATCCGTGCAACAAAAATGTGCAAAGGTGGGTATAAGCCGAGGCACCACAGCTGCTTCAATGGACGAGCATCGTCGAGCTGCTGCCTTGGCTTGCGCCTCGGAGTAGCCACAGCGCATCAAGTCTGCCTTAGCCAATCGCTGCAGGAAGGGGTTGAAAGATAGACTATATATAGTCGGGAAACCAACACCCCCCGCGACAAGAGCTGGTGCATTTCACTGTGGTCAGATCCAATATCCCATCCAACACAAGCAAATGCAATGCAATCCCTGCAAGAACTGTCCAAGGCATAAATCAAACACCAGTGTCACCAGTGATGAACTTTCACGCTAATATCGTGGGGCCACATGAGAACTAGGTTAATAGTATGGACTAAATGCAACTGCGTCAAATGCGAGCACGTCTCTGCACATCTCTTACAGCATTGCTTACAGCCGCATTAAAAACAACTCACCAGCCAATCACGTATCATGTCCAGTCGCCTGAACTGTCTGAGATCTTCTGCGACCTGTGAACCGGTTGAACCCGCTTGGTTGATTGATTCAGCTTTGAATTGCGCTCAACCAGCGGACTCAACACATGACTGGCAACCTACTTGGCAAAAATCAACACACGAACCTGCCTTGCCCCGGCTGTTCCGACAAAGTGGAGGTGTCTCGGGTAAAGGTCTTCCCGGCTGCCTGCCGGATGTCCGTTCTTTCGCTCCAGTCAATTGGCCCAAAACATGTTACATTTATCTATAGTCTATAGAAATATAAACAATATATATATATAGTATTATATTTGCACATTACAAGGCTTGTACTTCCACATACACTGGCCTTTAGGATCTTCAAACACTCAATGCCTGTAGGGGCAGAACTGGATGGTCACGAGCGGAGCCACCCTTCAGCGTGGCGTTTTCCATGATGTACTCGACGGCGGCCTTCCCAAGAAAATGACAGTTGACAATACATGAAAATATTTCATGTATCTTCATGTGACATTGGCGGACCCTACAAATCACCACCCGAATGCATTTTGGGGGTGTTCACCGCCTGCGCATGCTAAAGTCACTAAAGTCACTAATTACTGCCTCCCAACAAATTGTGCACACCCTAGCTGTGCGGCTTCTTCATGCTTCGTTTGACACAGCTGGGTGAATCCCCCATAATTGCGGGTTGAAGGAGGGATGGTGAGTCCAGTTCGGTGCACACGACATACAGCCGCATACGGGAGCCATACTGGAATAAATTGGAACAAACACATGCTGCAGCTGGGTGCGAAGGTGGCATCACCATAAGCAACGAATTGCAAGAAGAACACATGTGTATGTATCATGCTGCCCAACTTGTGACCTGGAGGTGAGTTTGGCTCAGTGCTTGGCGCCTGTGGCATTAGGCAAATCACGGCGGCGAGCCCGAGATTGGTACAGTAAATAACAACGAGCAAGCCTTCCGGCTGGTTTAAGCCCAATCAGTTCGCTGGAAATCGCCAAATCCAAAGACAGGTGAAGACACGCTGATGGGACAACGCTCTGTCCCCTCGCGTCCCGAACATATAGCTACACACACACACCATGGTCACCATACATAGTATACTGATGTATACTGTATGTATTGCACACAAACACCACGCACACCGTGGGATGCAAGGGGGGGTAGCCCTGGCCGTCTCCCAGAGATGATTCAAGGAGATTCACTTCCTTGGGCGCCCAACTAAAACACCACCACCACCACCACCAACAACAACATGTCCAGTCCCTCGCTGCTCCGCTGCTCCATTTGGAGAGGCGACCTGCCCACCTCGATGCTGGAGCAGCGCTTGAGAGAGGCCTCTGCAGCTTCATGGCCAAAGCCCATCATGGTGAGGATCGTTATCTTGTCATCAGACCTAGGCATGGCGTCAGTCGTGGCCTAGGCATGCTTAGGTGTGCCAGGCAGCACAGGTCACGAGAGGGGACAGGTCACGAGAGAGGACAGGTTGGCCCTTTTATGCGGGGAAACGCTGTCAAATTGGGCGTGAAGCTAGGCACAAAAATGGAGTGATGAGGAGAAGGACAAGGTGTTGGTTGGCTCTGCCGACTACCAAGAGCTGCTATATGTAAAAGAACGCCACGTCTCACTTCTTTCTGCTATATTGTGATGCTCGTTGAGCTGCCTGTTCTGCAAGCTTTCACATGACTGATAGGATCAGCCAATTTCTATGGTACTTAGCAGCTTAGCAAGAACATCTCAACCACCAACAAATTTTCCACTCTGCTTGCCACAGGTTCTTCAAATGAAACGCTCTTTCGCGCGTGGATTGTCGCCACAAATCTGAAGGACAAGACAAACGTACACTATACGAATCACTGATGAGATGGGAGGTCATCTAACATGAGTTGAACACATAATTTGGAATAATTTGGGACATTGAGCAGGAGTCTCAAGGGCCTTAAGTTGACTCAAGGGCCGGTTCTTTCCCTCTCGCCAATCCTCCAAACCCAGGACCTAAACCTTGAGCCATCGTCGAGTCACTCCTCAGAGATCTCGCTCGGGGACCTGGCGGCTCAGGTGACGTCGGATGGCACTGATCCCGCTAGAGTTCGTTTTTGACGTCTTAGACTTGGTCTTCTCCCGTGGTCACTGCGTCTTCCAGTTATGAAGTGCTGGTGACATCACAACTTAAAGACCTCAAACAGTTAAAATATTTTTGCATGGCTGCTAGCCATGTTTCAAACTGTAAAGTGTCGACCCGGGAATTGAATTAACAAGAGCCTCTGCCCACGCATGTTCTGCACCTTCTCGGTGCCCATCCATGGGCGCCAAAGCCCAAATCGGTAGAAGTTTAGAGGTTCAAATCTCAAACCATGCACCACTGAAGGACCAGCATGGGAGCCATTGCTGCCTCTCGGCTATACATGTGCAGCATGTAATTTGCCAGTCCAACATCTGCCAGCATCAACGAAACAACACCATCACCCTGGCCACCTTGAGCCTCAGCCTGGACAAAGGATGTGACATCCAGGTTCACTGTGATGTCCTTTTGGGAAACATCCACGGTACTCAACAGCTGTGAAGCAGTTGGAGCGGTATTCCAAGTAAGAGTTGCCTCATCCCAAAGGTCATCGGCCACGGCAAAAACGCTCAGCGGTACACTTTGTCCCTCTGACTGGTGTCGAAAGACACGCTCCTGCAGGGTGGCCGAGACCGGTTCCGAAGCCGATTCGAGGTCAAAGCGCAAGAAGCCACGGCGCGACCATTTCTCCCGGTTGGCACCCTTCACAATGAGCTTCTCGGGGTCCTCAGACCCAAAAGCACGATCAGCATAGCTTCCACCTCTGACGTATGCATCTGCTACCGGATGCAAAGAAGTGGTGCAAGCAGGAGTTGTTGAAGCATCCGAGCTGGAAGTTGTGCTCACTGCTGCGGTTGTTATAGCAAGAACAGTGGTGAGAGTGATCTTTGTGCTGGATGCAGCACTGGTGTCGAATGTCTCAGTCGAAGTGCTCGTTGGTTCTCGTGTTGTTGCAAACGTTGTTGTTGCCTCCGTTGAGGTCACAGGCTGTTGTGTGGTTGTGAGCAGTGTTGTTGAATCGGCAGTTGAGCCGGCGTTGCAAGCTCGAACAACACGAACCATCTTGATCACCATGTCCTTGGTTGCTGCAGGGTCCAACTCAATGGTGAATTCGCTTTGCGTCACCAGGCTGGATGAAAAGTTGAAGCGCGCCGTCTGGAGCAGCGGCTCCAAGTCATTGTGCGTCACTGTGTCTGGTGCAAAAGAGCCACCTGAACATGCTGAGACGCTGCCAATCTCGCTAAGACCCACACGCAGGCGAAAGCGGCAGTCGGCCGCATTGCTGCTAGATGGAATGCCGAAAGACACAAACACGCAAACGTTGTTGCCCAGTTGAGCTGACCTCAAGTAAGTCAAAGGGTCTTTGTGATAGCGGTGGTTGCTAGCGGTCGTCACACCTAAAACTCAAACTGCTTGCTCTCCAACCTGCACGACCATCCATTTTTGGCCTCTCCTTTTTTTGGGGCGGCTGTTTCCCACATGACTTTATATTGACTTGCTCCCTCTGCGGCCTCCGATCGGATCAACTGAGGCCAACGACGGTTGAGCTGCATCGAAAAAGCCGGCACCAACTTGGCCAGGCTCCGTCCTCGTCGGCAACAGCTGAAAGACGAAGCTTCGCACACCCGCTGCCAGGTCGGTGCGTCGACCTAACCAATCCAAATGATCCGCGGAGGGGCCACAATCCTTGCTGAAGGAACCATGTTGGCTGCCACTGCGGTCATAGAGAAGTGTTGCAGGAGTGTCAAGGACATTCACTTGCTTCAATCCTTAAATGAACTGGACATCATGAA